ATATATATATATATATATATATATATAAATATAAAATAAAATAAAATAAATTTAAATATAAAAAATGATATATATAAAAAAATGTTTTTTTTTTTGCTATATAATATAATAAAAACATCATATAATTTTTCGAATCTGTTTTATAAAAAATTTTTTAAATAATTTTGTTTTTATTCATATAATTTTTCTATTTTTATTCATATAAAAGAAAATATTTAATTAAAATAAAAATAATATTTAATAATAGAAAAAAATTTTGATAATTATTTAGATAATATATATATTTTTATCTTTAATATTAATTTTAATGATTTTTTAATTTTATATTTTTATATTTAATATTTTCATAAAAATATGGGACATTTTTGGGAGGGTAGATTCTAGATATCAAAACGATGAAAAAAATTCATATACACATATTTTTTCAAAAATTCATATAACATATTCGAAGTTATAAACATTTTATATTAAATAGAGTGAGATGGCAAAAGAACGAGAACATTCCACGCATCAGTTGGAGTACCAATATTACAGTATAACAGAGCTCTTCAAGGAAAGTAAATACACTGGCATTTTTTTATATAATTGATTATTTTAAATGAATTTTAATGTAATGTAATATAATATACATATTATATAATTCCTTATTTAATAAAAACTTACCTCAAATAATAAATACCTCAATAATAATTTTAATAAATTCCAGAATGTACACATACACACTACTTTATTTAAATATACTTTAAGTAAATCATTTTATGGTATAAACATATTTAAATCTATAGTTAAATCGTTGTACGACAATTTGTCTACTTACTAAAATCCATAGCAGTAAATCAAAACACATCACAAGATTTCAGATTAAAAAAATTAAATGTGTTTTTCTACACATAAACTTGCTTATCTTCACATGTATAAGAAAGTCTAACATGATATATGAATCAATTTGAAATTCACCGAATTTCATTAATTTCATCAATTGAAGCATTAATTGAAAAAAACTTTTGTGCCTATTTCATTTGAATTCTGAATATTTTTTATTGAAATTATTAAACAGAAAAAAATAATAGTCGAAATTCAATATTTATATTTTAATCATATCATACTAATGCCAATAAAGCTTATATCCATTAAAAAAGTCATATAAGCATTATATATTTTTTGTTTCCGAATTATTAATAAAAATATATTAAAAATATTAATATATTATATTCTCCCTATACATGCATATATTTGAGATAATAGAGTATTTAAGCAATAATAACAACGTATATGATAGTTGTATTTATCTCCGAGTATTTATTTAAAAGAAATGTCACACGTAAATAACGATTAAGAACATAACGCACATTTATGTTAATATTAGAATCATTTAGTTGAAATTTTCAATCGAAAATTAAACGCCTTTTGTTCAATTATAGGATTGATATTAGATCATATTAGAATTTCAATATGAATAAAACGAACGAATTTTTATAACGAGTTTTAATAACACGTGCGAGTAATTATAACTTGGATGATTTCGATCGTCCGTTATCCATCGTCTAAAAATTGTTCCATATTTTATTTTCATATTCAATATTATTCAGAATACAGAATCCTTACTGATTTTGATAATTCTTTAATATATTATAGAAGACAAGAATAATTTTTAAATAACTTTTTTCTTTATGTGTTACCACCGCTCGGTTTTTATTTTCAATATATTTGCAAAAAAAGATTATTATTTTATAGAATTTATTTTATATACTCTTATATATATATCCGTAATTACATATCCATGGATATACGATCACTACTTATCTTTTGTTAATGAAATATATGGCCACAACAGGCAATTATAACGAATGAACTAGTTAAAAATCTATTTTCTCATTATGATAGGCTTAAAATGTTTCAAATCCAATCCTTCAGATCTACGAAATATGAAAAATATAATATAAAATAATCCTTGGACGATCGAAATTAGAATGATTGAAATTACAATAAATCAATCATTCCTAATATCTATCATTGTATACATATTCTATATTAGTATATACATATTTTATATACTATATATAAAGTGTCTCAAAAATTTGTGAATATCTATTAACTGGAGATTCTTGATATAATCAAGCAACATTTTCCTTTATTTTCGTTACGATTACAGCGAATAATTATTGATTAAATTAAGACTTAAAACACAAAATTTAAAAATATTGCGCATTTTTATGCAAAATAAATCGTTATATTTGTTGTTTTTACATTTAATAATTATTTCTTTTTATTAAAAATAATTATAGAATAAAAGAAGTAAATAAAATAAAAGAAGTAATTAGATTAATATAAATAAGCTAAAGTAAAACAATTGAGTCTATGTACTATTATTTTTTTCAGTAATCATCTGAAAAAAGTTTTTTTCCTATTTTATAAATTAAAATATAAACTAAAAAAAGATTAATTTTTTTTTATATTTTTGTTTCAATTAAAAAAGTTAGTCGTTAATTGTCAATCTTTAATATAATAAAATCAAAAAAAGATAAAAGAATATTATAAAAAATGTTTTTATTACAACTGCAATTGTTCTAATTGACTAATTCAAAAGATTATAGTTTTTATAAATTTTTAATAATATAATAATTTATAGATTTATAATATGAATTATAAATTGCGGATTGAGTAAAAATATCAAATTATTAAATTATTTGTAATAGATATTTCCTGAAAGATATTTCCGAAAGATTAAAAAAGAATGCTATTTCTTTTTTGTATTCAGATTTAAGTCATAATACAAAAAAAAATTAATATATCAAATATAATAAATGATTATGAAAGAATATAAAAAATTGAGAATGGCTTAAAAAAAAATAAATAATATATATAGTATTCTTTGATCACAATTTTTGAATTAAGCTTTTTGAATTGAAATATAACTTAAAAGTATAAATTAGAAATCGCAAACTAAATCGGATACAGGGATACAAGGATTAAACCAGAAAAAAAACATATAATTTAAAAAAAACATTTAATTTCTTATTTTTCTTTAAAAATAATATATTTTAAAAAATTTAGAAATTAAAAATAAAAATTTTAAAAAAATTAATTTTTAGTTAAAAAGAAAATTATTGAATCTTTAATTTCTTCTTTTTTCTTTAAAATTAATTAAATTTTTTTGATTATAATAATTAATAAAAAAATAATTAATCTAAAAAATACAGAATTTAATTAAAAATTAAAACATATTAAAAACATATTATTATATAATTATTATATAATAATTAATATTAATTAATCAATAATAATAATTATTGATATAAAAAAATTCAAGAAATTTCATTAATTAATAAATTTATTTTCATTTAAATTTCATTTTTTCTCTGTTATCTCGCAAAAAATTTAAATTATTTCGACGAATTGATTATTTTATTTTTATTATTTTAAGTTTTTTATTATATCAATATCGATATTTTAAGATATCGATCATCAATCAATTCGTTACGATATTTATAATTCCCACCAAAATGAATACTACAATTAAATTTTGCATTCTGTTGGTACTGATACGAGTGACATGAAAATAGTAATGGAAATCTAGAGTTCTAGAATTTGGGTCAGAAGTACATTGCATATTACATGATTAATCTATTCTTATAATATCTGTGGTAATATAATAACGGTAAAGAAGTGTTATCAATTTTACGCATTTACAAAAGTATCAAAAATAATGGGACGAACTGTATACGCAGAGGAACGTCTTCACAATTATTTAATATCTTTAGCAAAGCCGGATGAATATACAATAGGATTAATTGTGGGACAGGTTCGATTTTTGTATGTTTCAATTTATGTTATCTTTCCTGTTTTCATTCATTTTAAAATATATAATTTTTAACATATTTTTTTTAGGTTATTTTATTTAATTTGTATTCTTTTTAAAATTGATATGTTAGATAAAAGTTTAGATAATAATTCAATTTAAATTTTTAATACATTTTATCTAAATTAAATTATAATTAATGTTACAGAGTACTGGTCAAAAAGATTATATTGTACATTTAGCAAAAACACCACCACCTATTGGTAAAAATGTTGTAGAAGAAACATTGCTTAATACAATAAAATCTGAACAAAATACTATTGAAAACCACATTAAATCAGTAAAAGATATACCTGAGAGTTGGGTTGCAGATCATGCAAAACATGTATATCCATTTTATTTTAAATAATTTTATTATTAAATAGATATAATTACGATTTTTAAATTTTATGAAAATTAAAAAATTTTAAATACGATTATTTATAGGTCACTAGAATGTTACCTGGTGGAATGCGTGTTCTTGGTACATTTATTATTGGTCCAGAGGACAGTATAAATGATAACAATATACAAAAATTTAAATCTGTTCTTACATCAATGCATAAAAATTTATTACACAATAAATATTTATGTGGGGATAATAATGAAGAACATCTTATTTTAAATTTAAATAGCATTACACAAAAGTATAAAAAATTATAATATTTAATAAGTATATTTTACTATATTTTAACTTTTTATTATTTTAGATACACTTGTAAATCTGTAGAAATAAATAAAAATGGAATGTTTAAATCAGTAGATTGGAAATTTCAAACTAGAGCTACCAAATGGCATCAACTTGAAGCATTTATAAATTTTGATCGCCTATTTCTTATTGCTGCTAATAAAGATCCAGAAACTCTTAAAAAACAACTGCAAGATATTTTAAAAACTATATCAGATATTGTTGAAACTTCTCTTATTGTTATTGAAGGAGAAGTTTGGTCCCCACATGATACATTAGAAGTAATTAGCAAAAACAAAAAAGATGAAAAAAATTGTAAAAGTAATGAAAAAAATAATAATGACCAATCTATTCAAATTAACTTATATATTCCGTGTGTGAGTATTTATTTTTTTCCTATAAAAAATTTATCCTAAGTTTGAATTTTTATATTTACTTTAAAAACTACTTTAAAACTAATTTTCAAATAGAAGAAAATATTAAATTTATATAAAGCATTAATAATTTAATTAAAATATTAATGATCTTATGAATTATTAGCAAGAAGAAAATATTAATTCTGATGTGAAGGTAACGCCATGCTCTGCTTCTATACGTTTGATTGGTCAATTAGTAAGTAGAACTTTTGTTCATCAGAAAGCAATTGTCGAAGAAGCTAATACAGCAATAAAACAAGACATAATAAGATCATTAGCAAGTAGATTAGAAATGCATTGGGATAGTTTGATTGAAGAAGAAAATGGATCTCCAGAAGGTATCTAATATATATATATTATATATATATTAAAAATTTATGAAAAATTCATTTCATTATTCTTTTTCAGAAAATATAACATTACATGAACCTCCAAGGAGAGTATTAATAGCATTGCCTGAGAGTAAAATTACTTTATCGGATTATCTATTTCCTGGTGAAGGACCTCAAGAAGCTCTTTTGTCATTGCAAGAACTTTTAGACTTAGAAGTTCATGAAAGTACTGTTCAAAAAGATATTGAACTTGAAGCTGGTAAATATTAAATATTTAAATATATTACATATAATATATATATAATATATATTATATATATATATAATACGTATATATTTTCCAAATAGATCCTGCAGAATTTTATTTTCAAAATAAAATTGATGTAAAAACTGTTGATCTTGGTATAGATTCATCTGGAAACCAAATAAAGGTATATATCACAAGTTTTAGTATTGCACTTTTAATTATAATTTTTGCTATTATAATACATAAATTTTATTAATATCAAAAATAAATTTATAAAAGAATTTATATTTTATTATAATATAAAAGATATAAATATATATATTTGAATCATTATAATGAATGCATAAAAGGAAACATTAGCAAATAAAAACAACTGTTTTGACATGGTGATAATATATTTATGTGTACAGAGACAAGTCGTATTATCTGTAAATTATCATGTAAAAGTATTAAATTATTAATCTATATATAATCTATATAAATTATGTATACATTGAATATATCTAAAAACAAATTGTATCAATAATTTTATCCTAATATTTTATGTCATAATTAAATATTTTTGTAAAATTATACATACATTTGAGGTAAAAACAAATGATTGAATAAAAATCTTTTAATAAATAGTACTTAATTTCTGCATTTCCCAAAGTATTAATTATTACATGCATCATTTGATATTTAAAAATTTTAAGGATTTTATATTATACAACATATATCGCAATATATCTTTCATGGTATTATTATAATAACATCTACACAATATATACATACAATATTATACACTCATAATATATACAAAAAAAAAATAGTTTCAAAATCGATGTAATATTTTTATATAATAAAATAAGTGATAAATTTGTTTGCAATTCATCATATAAATAATATCCAATTTAAAAATATTGACAATAATATTTTTTGATCAAATTAATAATGACATGCAATGTCAATGCACAAATTATATATTTAAAAATTAGGCAGTGATATTTCTATTTTTAAAATGCTTAATTCATTGACATTTAATAAATTGTTTAAATGCTTGCAAAACTATACTAACATTTATGAAAATTCCTGTATTTACAAAATTTTCTTTACACTGTACATAGCAAATTGAATAAAAAAATAATACTTCACTTTAATGTGAAAAATTAAAATCATAATACTTCATATTTCCAGTAATAACTGATTACTAATACAATTAAAAACTTAATTTTTAAAACTTATAGTTTTTCTGATTTTTAAGAATTATTATATTTTTAATGTTTAATTCTAAAGCATTTACACATTTTCTAATAATATAATTTGCTCAACAAGTTATCTACACATTCTTTCTCTCTACTTTGATATTTAATGATTAATTTTTATTAAAGAGTTTTAAATATAGATACATTAATTCAATTAAAATTTAAATGTTTTAGTCCAGTACACTGCATGACAAAAATAAGATTTATGAATTATGAAATTATTCAAAAAAATAGATATAAATTCATATTAAGTTGATTAAATAGTGCATTTTTTCTTTAACTCAGATATTTTTTGTTTATGTATAATATTAAAAATATCATAATTTATATTAAATTACCACAGTTTTATAATTTTTACACAACTACTATATATAAAATATAGAGAATATTTTCATTTACTAACTTTTTATAATAATAATAAAAAAAAATATGTAATGATTGGAATGGAATTAACAATGCTAAATATCATAAATGAATAATGCAGATAAAAGAAACATTTTACATCACTATTTTTTTATTAATTTTGTATTAAATAAATTAAAATTTAGATAAATTTATTACAAATCAAACAATAATTTAATTTTTTTATTCAAGTAAGTTTTATGATATATTATATAATAATAATTTTAAAAAAGGATTATACGGATATAATAGAGAAAAATAGAGAAAATTTGATCTGCACTATTCTTTGGTAAGCATTGATGATTTTTTAAAAATTTTAAATCTAATTAGATAAAAACTTAATCTATAATCTAACTAGATAAAATCTAAATCTAGATAAAATAGATTAGTTATACTGCTCCCATTTTTATAAGTCCTGCTTGACTGCCTCTACCAACACTTGCATCTTCCAATGAATCTAAGTCTAAAGCAGACTCTATCATGGTAGTATCTTGTAACAATCTAAGTCTAGATGCAGACAAAGGTGTTGTTACAGTTACCGAAGGTATAGAAGATGTATCCAATGTAGATGAAACAACAACACTCTGACGGGAAGGCAGCGGAGCAATTTCATCGATATCAATTGGAGCTATATTAAGTGATGCTAGTGGTACTTCATTGGTAACAAGTTGACTCACGCTGTTTGTAGTACTACCTAAAAACAATATCCAATAAAAATTCCAATAAATAATAAATTGTACAAAATAATCTAAACATAAATATATATATATATATATATATATTGTCATTCATATATATATATATACACATACATTTCATACATAGTTTTAAATATAAGAGTTTCAATAATTGCTATTAAAGTTCAATAAAAAGCCATTACAAATTTTATTGCTTATTAGCAATAAAAATTGAATAATGCAACTCATTGCAAAAGTGCACTACTAATTGTGAAATTTTGTTTAATTTTTGTTTAATTTGTTTTATTTTGCATAATAAAGAAAATAAATCAAAACTAAACTGCAATAAAGAAAATATCCCAAGCAGTAAAATATGTTTTCTATGTGTATACAAAATGTTAATATATTCATGGGACACTTTTAAAAGATCAATTCCAAAAGCTATAATATAAACATAAAAATTGATATAAAAATATCATTAAGATTTATTTTTTAAATTATAAATAATTTAAGTTTGCATTAAATGAACAAAGTAGAAACAGAATGAAACAATAATGTGTTGAAGACAAAATTATCTATTTCTATTATGTTTCATCTAATTATTATTGCTTATAATTTAATAAATAAATCTCAATCGATATTTTTGTATATCAATTCTTTTATTTGTTTTAGATATTAGAATCAATCTTTCACGAATATATGTATTAATTTATATATGTCTGATTAAAACTAAAAATTATAGTAATAGATAACTTATGATCACGTAATATACAAAAATTTTAATATTATACATACAAGCAAAAATTTATAATATATCTTTTATACATGAAAATATCCATATATTTATATATACATATATAACTATACATATATTTATTTACATATCATATTTTCACAATCCCAGTACCAAAAATAAGAAAGAATTAATTAGTCACAAATCCATAAACCCTTAAATTGATATAAGATTTTGACATTAGTTTTTAAAAATATGGGATGTATTGTGTTTAAAGTGTTTATTAACAGCTATTAATAAATATCTAAATATATTCATTCATATTAAACATAAACACAATAATGAATGGAATAAAGGAAAATTAACTTACCAAATGGTATGCTCTGAGCCCTCGATACAGGACGTAATTTTTAAACAACAAATAAATATAATTTATTGAATCATATAAAAATATGTCTAAATAAGGAAAAATTTAATTATTTTATATTTGATGATAATTCAAATTTATATTTAGATTAATTTTTTTATGCTTTAAGATTAATATTTTAAAATAATTGTGTTCTATTTATTTTCATTATAATGTAAAAAATAATTATTCGCGTATTTTTTACAAAATATTAAAAAATTGTAATGAAATTAATATTTTAGTTTTTTTTTCAATCAAAATATATAATATTATAACAAAAATACTAATTTCTTCCTTTTTCTTTATATGTAAAAAAATCTATATATGTATATTCAATACCAAATAAATTATCAAAAAATAAATAAATCTTAATAACAATATTAATAATAATCAAATTCAACTTATATTTTTATCCATAAAGATCTATTATATAAGTCATAATATAAGAAAGTATAAACAATCACATGATTAATGATTACTTTTGTTAATATTTAATATTTTTTAATACTATTATTTTTGCTAATAATATTTATATGCATAATAAAATTTTGTTTATTTTATACTAATAATAGTAGAATTTATATATTGATTTTAACATTAAAATTATTTCCTAACAATTATAGCCATTTAGATTTTTTCCTTTTTCAATAAGTAAAATAATATTGGTTTAAAATGAAGGTAAGTATGAAATTATTATAAAAAAAAACATTAAATATCATCATTATCGCTTATTGAACTCATGATAAATCTTCGATTTAAAAGATCTTCCTCAATATTATCATTTGGACATAAAGAATTTTCTGCATAAGAGAAAGCATTAGTTAAAGGTCCTGAACCAAATCTGTTAACTGCTAGTCCTATTGCATTTTGACCAATAATTGGCATTCCTCCTGCTCCTAATATTCGTGACATTACAACAGTTGGCAAAAGATTCTTTGATATTGGATATTTTAAACCATGAACAGTGCATCTCAAATTATTATATTTAAGAGTATGAAGTTGAGATATTCGTAGTGGATCTTCAGAGTAACATTGTGGAAATTTTTGAAGATCAGTGTAATATTTATCATTAATTTTATATCGTACAGAATCTTCAGAATATCTTTGCGGATATTTCTGAAGATCAATACCAAATTTTTGATCACTAACATGATCATATATTAAATTATTATCCGAACATCTATGATATTCTTCCCTACATTTATGAGAATATTTATGTAAATTCTCTTCACACCTACATGGATATCTTTGAAAATCTGGATTTTCTATTTCTGTATCATACTTTACATGTTTTATGGAATCCTGAAAACAATATTGTCGGGGATATGCCGGAACATAAGTATCATCAATGTACTCTCGTGAATATTTCGAAAGATCCTCCGGGTAATGAGTAATGTGCCTCAAAAGATTTAACTCACCATTTATTGATTCAATTTGTGACGAATGTTGATCAGAAACAAGATTGTTCATAGAACCTGTGAGATCTGGACTAGGATTTGTTTGAACAGTTGTACCATTAGACTATAATAATATAAAAAAATAATATATAAATAATGATATAAATAAAATACAAGAATACTAATAAGTATTTAAATACCTGTGGTTGTATAATTTTTACAGTACCATAAGTTTTATTATTAGTAATTACATTGTCACCACCAACTCTTTCTTGTTCTGCGCGATATTCTGGAGTTACAATACCTCTTCGATCTATAAAATTAGATATAATTAAATAATTTTTATAAAAAATAAAATAAAAATATTAAGAATATAAGAATAAATTACCAATTAAACTAGGTGGCGCTGGTCCACACAATACATAGAAACAATTTCCACATATATTTCCTTGACTATATAAATTGAAACTTTCTTGCCCTGTTTTAATAGAAAATGATCCCTTAATCTACAAAGATGATTCAAATTATTTTAAAATTATTCAATAACTTCAGATACATAAAAAATTAATAAAATTTATAATATTTACATCTTCATTAGTTGTCTGATTACTAGTAGTTAAATATGTATGAAAACCAGCAAGACCAAGAATACTCCAAACAGAAAAAAAACATATAACTGCTACAACAACACTTCCAGGAGATATCCTCACTGCTTCTAAAAATGGTCTATCATCTTTTGTGACTAGAATTAAATATATGAAAACAAAAAATACCTAATTAATTTTAATATATCTTTCTAATTCTAATATTTTATATTTTTTTTAATTAATATACTTACGCATTATTAAGTGCGTAACAGCACATGCAAATATGAAAACACAAAGAAATGCCAAAGAGACAATAAAGGCATAAAAATATCTGTAATTCCTCCTACCAACACAATTTCCGACCCATGGACAATGATGATCAAATCTCTCTAAAAAGATAATTACATACTTCTAAATTTCCATAAAAATAATTTTAAATAACAAAATAATTTAAAATGACAGATCATAAAAAATTATACATACCTACACAGTTGTCACATAAGCTACAATGTGAAGCTCTTGGTGGTCTAAATATTTTACAAGTAAAACAATATTTTAATTTTACTGGTTGTCCTTTAACTAATACTTCTTTTGTTCGAGGTGGAGGTCTATACATTTTAGAATTACCATTGTTCGGTACCTCTTTACAACATGTAAAAAAACGAAGTTTTTAATTATAAATTACATTAAATTACATAGATTATGTTAAAAAAATTGAATATAATTTTTATAGTATAAATACAAATATAATTAATCATAAAATTATATATTATTTTTAGGAAATATATATTTATATACCAATCTGTTTTTCAATATAGGCAGCTTCATCAAGAGTTGCTCTTGGAATAACACCAGGATCACTAAAACTTGTTCTGAATAAAGCGGACATTACAAAAATAAATAACAAACCACCAATAACTGGAATAGCAGGTGTTATATGAACTGCTAAAAATGGACAACTGAAAAATATATATAAAATTATTAAACTAAATCTTTTCATATCATAGATATATACATGTATAATTATACATATACATATATGTATAATTTCTAATTTAAATTAGAAGATTAAAAAATATAATCTTACTCAAAAGCAAAAAATAATCCACTTGTTCCAGCAATGAGACACACAGTCACATAAAAAACTCCAGTTTGTGGTGCCATCATTACTCTACCATCACAACAAAATCGATTTCTGCCTGGGAAAAGTTCCCATTTTCGTGTTATGTGAGGCATTTTGTGAATATAAACAAATTACTTTATACACTATACATATGCACAAGTATGTATAAAAAATAATCTGTTAGAGTTATGCAATGATTATTTAATATTACCATATAAAAGTTCGAACAATCATAGTTCATCTTGGCTTACTGTTCTTTTTTGATCAACTGCAACATATTTATAAGTTCATATTTATTGAATTAATTCATATTTATATTTTAATTTTTGTAACTTCTTACAAAAATTATTTACAAATATTTAATTTAAAATATTTATTATTTGTATTTTCATATACAATTTTATTTCATACAAATAAAAAATCAACCTACCATAAACTTAATATTATTCAGTATAAAACTGTGTTCTTCTTGTCAATGTAACCTAATTGTTTCGTTCACTAAAAACATGATGATGCTCACATTTCATAAAAATCCACATTTTGAAAATATTAAATAAGATTATTTGCTTTTTTCCATATTCTATAACAGTTATGAACTCACTTTCGAGACAGCATTGCTACTGTCTCAGAGACCACCGATTTCAAGAACACTCAGGGTCATAGCTAAAGAAAATCAAAAGCGAAAATTCATTTGTAAAGATCACTTTTACGTGACATAAAAACAACACTTATATATTTGTGATATAAATTTTAAATTCGCGACGTACATTACATTTCAAAAACTGTTGCATCGTTTTAGTTAATCAACTTTGCTTCAATGACAATAAGCTATGTATTTACGAAGAAATTGTTGGCCGTCATGTTTGCTCGAGATTTATATGTGCTTCCCTCTAACGGAGTATGCAAAAGCACCACGTGATCTTATTGCCATGTGACCTAGCACAAAAACCGATTTCGATTTCAAGTAACTTTTATCGTTAAAATCAATAATAAAAAAAATTGTGATTTTGAATACACAAAAATATATAAAAATCATATCATATCTTCAAATTCTTTATATATTATTAATAAGAATTTTACAAAAGATTAAAACTTTTAAAAAGATAATATAAAATTATTAATTTTTTAATAATATAGACTTTTAATGAAAATATATATAATAAAGAAATAATGATAATTATACAAATTATTAATTAATAAAAAAATATAATTCATTTTGAATCATGAAATTGATTATTTAATGATAAAAAGTATGCTTATCATTTCTATTGTAAAATAGGTCGTCGACGCAATGCAGTATATCGTCACATATACATGCACACATTCAAATGAAATCTTGAAAATCGAAGAATCCCACTATAAACGCCATCTTCAGGTATGTTTAGGAACAGAACAGCGGCGATCCTAAAATTTTACTGCACATACAAACTAACCCTGTAATATTGTCTCATAGATCTATAGATCAAACATTCTAAGTTAAAACTATTTAAAAGAAGATTTAAGTCAAGTATTGTTGTATTTCAATAATATTTATATTATCATAATATTAAATAATAATTTATATTTTAAAACAATAAAAACATAACAATATAATAATATAATACATAATAGGTAAGCGCGTTCCAATTAATAATATATTTCTCTTTTATTATTACTTTCAAACCAATATTTAATTTGAATTTAATTTTTTTTATAGAAAAAAAAACTTCTTTAAATGAATGAAGATATATTTTTGCATTCAACTAATTTTAGCAAATTATACGCATTGTCTTATTATACACTTGATTGAACTTTTAAGTTTCATCATCTCATTGTAAAATTATTAAAATTTGAAAATATTAATATATATATATAAGGGCAGAAAACATTTTTTTGATCTTCAATATGATCAATGTATTTTGATCTTCAACAAATATATGTATAATCAAATATAAGAAACTGACTGACTTGAAAAAAGGGATATCAACAGGCAATAGAATCAACATTGGGGTGTCGTGGATGAAGCAAGTTAAAAGATATCGTGGTGTCCGGCGTCGCTGACGAAAAGGATCATGAAGGGTCGCGTTTAGTCGCGTCTATACGGCTTAAGGTAGTAGCTAGCGAGATGGTTTCGGGGTGGGAGGTTGAACAGAATGTAGAATATAGAGAAGGGTGTGGGGAAAGGGGTTGGGTGCGGCGGGGTGCACGGGTATGAATCGTGGAGCGGGCGGATGGACGGACGGACGCAAACGCTGAAATCAGCTCGGGCGATCGATGCGATAAATGGATGCGTGCGATTGGTAGCCGGGAAAATCGATGATGAACAGGGGGGCACCCTACCTAGCCGCGAAAGCGAGCACGGCTGCACCGCCGGAGAGGATGGAGCAAAGACCGAAATATCGATTTTTAGGCCCCTACGCGGCGGTTCGATGCTCATATCTGCCCCGTGTCCCGTATCCGCGCGAAGCGCCTTTCAAAACACTAACGACGCGTGCGAGACACACTCTGTGGTGCCGCAGATCTTGAGGATTATCATTTACAATTAAAATAAGAAACGAGCGAGAGAAGTGAAGCCAAGTGACGCATAACGAAGTTCTGGCCGATGTCGTCAGGTAACCACGTTGACAGTATAATGACGCGCTGTAAAACGCTTTACAGATTTTTGTTCTCAGTGGTTCGACGTTCGTGCGACAAGCGGCAATATCATGCAATCATTGGCACATTAAATAACCAATGATCTTCATTACTGAAATGATCTAAAATCGTTAATTTTGAAGTGCGTCAATGACGTTTCGTCCTATGTATGAAGATTATTTTTTTTGAAAACATTGTGTACAACGTGCACGATCGTTGAACGAACTTTAACGAAAATTCAAATAGGGTGAATGTGGGGTGCCAAAGAGAGTGCGTAATTATTTTATTAGTATGTTTCTTTTAAATTTGTTTAATATTATATCAAAATCAAACAAACCAAACTATATCCATAACTAATCAAAAGGATTTTGAGTGATGTTTTTATTTTGTGATTTTGGAAATGAAAACAGATACATTAAAAAACATTCAATGCCATAATTTCAATTCGATCGAAAGAAAAGAAATTCATATAAGATTCATATATTTTCGAAGATTATTGTGAATTGCTCTAATATTCATTTATAATATATTTGTTAAATACGAAATGTTGATTATTTTTTTACTATTTGAACGATGAAAACAATAATATATTTACATGAATTTTTATATATAAAATTTCAATATATCATAATTACATAATCTAAGATAAAATAGATCATTATTTTTCTGCATTTTTAAATAATTATATATTTTATTACACATCATCTTATAAAATCCTTATTAAAACATGATACAAAAGTCATACAAACGTAAACGAAACACAGCGACGCAACAGGCTTAACAAATACAACAATAGAATATATATTAAATATCTCCGAGAAAGATTATAACGAAACGCCTTTTTTTCTCTGTTTGTCAACGATACAGAAAAAATGGCCATCGCTGCTTCAGAGAATTATCAACTTAAATGGCACAGCTATGGTGCTCATCTGCACAGCTCTGTCGCAACATTACTCCATTCAGAATCCTTCGCAGATGTCTTGTTAGCAACATCCTGTGGTCGGCACGTGGCGGCTCATCGATTTGTCCTTGCCGCTTGCTCTTCGTATCTTAGTCATATTTTTCAAACATGTCATTTTGGTGCAAACACAAACGCTCCAATAATTGTGGTTTGTATATTTCTATTGACTTTTGTTGAAATGAAAAAATACAATACAAGACAATATTTTATTCATTATATTGCAGGTATTACCAACAGAAATTGGTTATCGTACATTAAAGATACTGATTCAATATATGTACAGTGGTGAAGCTACGGTAACGAATGATCAATTAGAAGGTGTATTAAAAGCAGGTGATATATTACGTGTACGTGGTTTATGGAGATCTAATACTGGAAGTAAAAAAGAAAATATACAATCGAATAATCAGAAAATGGATAGAGAAAAACGAGAACAACCACCTTTAACTGGTCAAATTCAAAAAATCAAATTGGTTCAACCGAGCGCGGAAAAAATTGTTGAAAATACACAACAAAATACACCAATACAAAATAATGTTCAACCTCAGAAACCTGTATCAGAAAGAAAAAGTATTGAGAAAATTGAAGAGAAAACTAATGAACCAGAATCTAAAAAGGTTTTAGAGGAAAATAAGAATAATGAACAAAATAAAAACAAGGAAAATGTGGAAAACAATGGTAAAAAAAGGAAAACAACCAATAGTGATGTAGAATCTAATAAATCTAAAAGTGAAGATGGTGAAAATGTAAGATGATCTTATATAATATAATTTATCAAATATAGTAAAATATTTTTATTTTGTGTTTTAGACCGAATTAAATTTAGAACTTTTAGTAAAAGATGAACCAATTTGGGAAGAAACCATTGATCCATCAGAATCATTAACGATAGATCACGAGATTGATATAAAACCGGTATATAATGTTTTAATTTATTTTAAAGCTTCTTTTTAACAAAAAATGTGTATTATTACAATTCATTACAGGAAATCGTACATAGTGCAGATGAAGAAGAAGAATACAGCCCATTAACATGCGATATGTGCAGTCAAACATTTAATCGACCATCAGACTGGGTAAGACATATTGAATTTACACATGCTGATATGACCGAAAATCGAAGAAAAAAGAGGAAGGTAAGAATAAATAAAACATTAATTAATATTTTAAATATTAATTAAAAATTATTATTACGTATGTATTTTTTTAGGGTGATGTAGATGATGATAGCAAAGATTTTCCACCTTTAAAATGTGATCTTTGTGGTAATATGTATTCAACACCTCAAGAATGGGTACGTCATATACAAACCGAACATACAGAAGAGCAATTAGCTCTAATGAATAACTCAGCGCCTCCTAAACCAAAAAGAGTTCATAGTCATCAAAAATTGTGCAACATTTGTCAAAAAGAATTTCCAAGCCATGCGTCGATGGTAATTCATCAAAGAACGCATACGGGGGAAAAGCCTTTTCTTTGTTCCTATTGTAAAAAAGGCTTTAACGTAAAAAGTAATTTATTAAGGCATTTAAGGACATTGCATGACAAATATGTACATCCCAGTTTATATGGGAGTAATGGCAACACGAATGCTTAAGCTCTTACATAATTTTTTAATTGTACATGTTTTTTTTTTGTCAATACTTCATTTACAGGGTAAATGCCACATAACATCTCACACTTTTTAAAATTATATTTATAGACTGAAAGAACAGTATATGCATTGATAATCTCGCATAAGCATGTCAAATTGGTCCAAATAATTACCGATAATATCGATGTGTGTGGTATCTTCTTTGAAAATGAATAAGTATTAACAGTTTCATTAATTTTAAATGAATAATTTCATATTTTTCTTTTACATTAAATTTGATTATGTATTAACATGAATGCGTATTATTTCATTATGTATAAAATTAATTATTTTAGTTTTAAATATGGAGCTATTCTATTAAAAAGAAAAAAGCAATATCAGGGCTTTAAAACTAAAGAGGCTGATTACTATTGCCAAAGTATCTTGTTTCATTGCTATTTAAATTTATTTTTGAACATAGATAAAAATGTGGAAAATATTTTATTGATTTGATTTAAATGCATAAAAATAAGAATTAATAATATACAGGTCTTCGCAGTATGGGCGTGTAAAATAATTTATAGTATAAATCAACATCTATTGATTATATATAATATATAATTATTAGTAACTATATAAGATCCAAATTATGTAAGATTTTACTGTATACTTTTAGGCTATTCCATCCATGGTAGCCCACTTATTCCCTCAGCTCGTAAGTTAATTATGTATTTTTATATTAAACTAGCTTATACATAAAAAGTATAAGAAATAAG